ATTCAAATGAATGCCAAACACAAACAAATAGACCGATCTGGCTGTAACTTGGTGTGTGTTCCTCCAAGAGATGCTACTAACTAAATCTAACCTTGATACGCGCCAGTAGTGCCATCAGCAGTGACTTTGCACGGACTTTTCAAACGACCCTCGTAGATAGATAGATAGATAGATTCTACATAGATAGATTTAGCTAGCTAAATCTTTTAGCCATAGCACCAGTTTGGTTGTAGTAGCAAATGTTTAGTTGTGTTAGCCTATCCACTATATGATTTCGATAGGCTAACGCAACTAAAAATTTGTTGCTACAACTAAAAACTAGTTGCTGCAGCCATATAAAAATGCTGTGCTATATTTTACTATCTAAATTGTTGCAGCAATCAATCTTTTCTTTCAGTGCTATTTTATTCTTATAGAGTTTTAAGAATTTTTTCAGAATTTTATCAATTTTTTAGTATTGCATTTTCTTATCCACTATGTGCAAACAAAATAAACAATTCTTGTCTGTTTTTCTATAAAGTTGATAGTATTTGAGTATGAATAGTATTTGAGTAAAAAATTATTGAAGACCAGATTCAGCAATTTTTAGTAATTAATATCTTGTTAATTATTGCAAAAATGATAGAGGACTTTTCGACTCAGTTTAGTTTGCTGTATCTACACATAAGCTTTGTCAAAACTTACCTCAAAACTTGAAATAACGAAGCGCCTTACTAGTCCGAGTGTTAAGATATTGAACTACTATACAATCATTTAAATTGAATTAATTTTCAGAAATAAATTGCGAGCCGATGAGATTATCGGATTCACACAATAAATCTGAAACAAATAATCCCCCCAAAATTTCCCAAATCTTAAAAAACTGTAATAATTTTATTGCTAAAAATATTGCCTCGGCCGGGAATCGAACCCGGATCTCTTGCATTCCGTGCGAGCGTTCTAAGCCTTTAGACTACCGAGACTTACCTCTGTATAATTATGGTATATGTAAAATATGTCCATATATATAACATTTTTTCCTGGTATTTAGCAAAAAAATATTTATAGAATTATTGTTGGTATAAGAGTTAATAAAAAAATAAAATTCGTATAAGGGCTCTAAATGAGCCAAGCACGTTGTGTGTCCAGAATACATAACTTACAAACATATGTTCTTACAATATATTCTTTTATATGTTATGTGTCATTAGATTAACATAAAAACTTGTCGCAAATACTTCATGCTTAGAATTTTGAGAATTGCCGGACGACAGGAAGAACGTTTACGATAGACTTACTGTTTCAATAGATTGGATATATATTGTTGAATATATATTGTTGGATATATTGTTGGATATATTTAAATCTAACAAATCTGTTGACATGTAAACATTCTTCCTATCGTCCGGCAATTCTCAAAATTCTAAGCCAATACTACCATAATTGTATAAAAATGTTAACTCGATTTGGTGGAATTCCTGTCCCCGAATGCGTTCTGGCATGAAGTATTTGCGACAAGTTTTTATGTTAATCTAACGACGCGTAACATACGAAAGAATATAAGAATATATGTTTGTAAGTTATTTATTCACTGGTTCCGTTGAGAATCGAACCGTTTGGAAGATTTTTGTGATTCGTAACAATGTATTTTTTTTACACAGACAACGTGCTTGGCTAATTTAGCCTTTATACGAATTGTATTGAATTTATTTAGTTTGCTGAGCTTTAAAGTTTTTTAATTTTAATAAAAAAATAATTTTACGAATTGCGAGAGCATTGTGCTCATATAATCTTAACAATGAAACATAAGTATGCATCTAGGTAGAAAAATGAATATTTTCTTTCAGACTGTTCGCGTAGTATACGGAGGTCGCGATATATTGAATTTGGGAGCGAACATCAGACCGTCATTCGACTGGCAAATGAGAGATCGAACATTGTCCCGACATAACATTCAAGATTTTATAACTAATCGTCTGGTGTATCATCGATTGCGTGAGCAGCCGCTTACCAAAGATTATCTAACGGTATGTATATAACGACATTTTATAACTTATGTTGAAATAAAAATATCTAATATAATTAATTTTCAAACATGCATAACATAAAATATAATCTATAATTCATATATAAATTAATAAATTATAAATTAAAATTTTGTAGTTATATAGAGCTCCGATGATTAAAATTTGATCTTACAGAAACGTTGCAATGAATGTGAGTTTTGCGAACCGTCATCTATCTTCTGATATCGACTTAACCGTAACGAAACGATTAACGACAACAAGTCCTGCGTACAACGTCATGGATAACTGAACTGTGATAGACCGGATAAGCGGCAGCCGGATGGAGACGTACCGTAAATCGAGGAACGTATGGAGATATGAATCTAATATTTAAATTGAAACGCAAAATGAACCATGAATATTGAAATAATTGAAATATTCACGTAAATTATTAATTGGTTTAATTTATTATTGGTTAATTGATCTAGAAAGAGATATTTAAAATCTAAATTATGTAAAAGGTATACGTTCCCTTGCCGGATACGGGCTGCAGTTATTAGTTCTCCTACTTGTGATATCGTAACGTGAGGTAATATTACGTAAACTAATGAGTTTTGTATCAGAATAAAAATAATCGGGAGTCATTTAATGTCTCTGTCATTTAATGTCTAAATTTTAGACACTGTGTATATGATGATTTTATAATTTTTATGATACGGTGCAAAATTAACTCTTTCTGCTAAAGTTAATATACTTCATTTTACGATGTCACTTTTTTTTTTCAATTAGTGCATACGTATTTAATTCGGACGAATGACGATCTCGCATATAAGAATATCGGCGTCTTACAAAACTGTCCGAGCATAAAGTATCGTGTGACTTCATCGAATGATTGAATAATATTAATTTTTTATACACGATATGACACAAGATCTGTAACAGATTGAACATTTAACTACAGATTGAACAAAAAAAAAAACCGCAAGTTTATAATTCGCCGTCATGTGTACGGAAAGTTGCATGTCGCTTAAAAACTTTTCTTTATGTATTCTTTACACAAATTTATTCATTTCAAGATATATCTCATTATTCTATTGTCAAGATCGTCATTATCACCGACGATCATTATTTCATTTTTGCAACAACCATAAACAAATGCCGTTGCGCTTCGTAGAGCATCGTTAGCGAATGACGTACCGCGATAGATGTATCGCGTTTCATGTATTCATTTCAGTATTCATGAACGATCGGCAATTTCTTAAAACAGCCGAAAATCAATCCTTACATTTTCGCGGTAAATGTAGTACCTGCTCGTAGGATATAAATACGTATTTCTACGACGGCATTGCATACACATATATATATATATATCTTGACCATTGTTTATAAATGCATGATAAACAATATTTTATGTATCTCAATGTTGCATTATTAATTATACTTTTATATTCAATAAATCATATAAAACATTCGCGAGGAATACAGAAATAACTTAGGCATGTAAATCTTCTTTCTCTGTTACATTTTTAAGACGCGATCCACTTTACGCTGCAAACGCTTTGAGGCGTCGTTCTTTGAATGATCGATACTCTTGGTAAAATTCTTTCTCCCGATTGGTCAACAAAACGTTTGCAGCGTTACAAGCGGGTCGCATCCTTATATATTCTGCAGCTCTTATTTATGAAACGAGAGGGAACAACTTTTTCCCAAAGTTAACAATTCCTCACGATAATATCGCCGCGATGCAACATCAGCGGACTTAGAAACGATGATCCTTGAGCCAGGCCGAAGATGAACGCTTGGCGAATTAGCGCGTAAATTCGCGCGAAAGGCATTAGTGCCGTTTCATGAGCCGCACAAGGGGGTTGATCGCTCGGACCCTCGTGCTTCTGCATTGTTTCAGCTCGAGCGTAACACCCGGCGTGGCGCTGTGTGGCCAGTTCGATCCACAATCCCGCCTGAAACACTCACACCCCTAACGAGACAGACCACACACTCGCCGCAGCACACGCGCATTTCTCTGATCCTCACCGACGCACACAACGCATGTACACGCATTCGGAAAAAATGGACAAATTGCTAAAAAGAAAGAGAAATATTTTATCGAAAAAAAAAAAAAAAAAACGAAAAAAAGATACTTGTATAAAAATAGCAACCTCTCAAACGCAACAGCATTTTCTCCAATTTCTCTGCGATGCATGGGATTATTTCAGACGCGAGCGTATAATGTGTCCATTATTTATAATAATAATTAGATGTTAATATGTATTCAATTATTTCTCACTCAATAATCAAAATTAAAAATAATGTATACCGTTGGCCGATTTTTCGACTTTGGGCCTCGATATTTGCTAAATCCGCCCCACTGGTATGTGCGTTTATATCGCTTGCATGTATTCCACGGGAGGGGGGAGGGGGGGGGAACCTTTCAGGCTGCACGCGTGCGTGTACATCGATGTACGTGCGCGCGTGAAAGCGCCCCCGTCCGTGCGTGCACGCGCGGATGCGTGGGTGCGTGCAACGCGCGAGAGATGCGCAGGACGACTATTCAGATATTGTTGTTATTGTTGAGGGAACAATCGCCCGTCAATAGGCCGCCTCGGCACAATGTATCTATTCAGGTGCGGTCAGCGGTGCTCAATCGATCAGGATTCACCCTTCGCGAGTGCCGAAAAAGCACTGTTGAGACCGGCAAAAGATCGTCGTTAGTTTCGCGACGCGCGTTTCACGAAATCTCTTCACGCGAAGTAGTCGCATTCTTAACTTGAGTTTGCCTGTGCACGAAGAAAGTAGAGAGATGCGCTTATTTTTTTCATGCTTCCAGCAAACCAAACGAGCGCGAGATTCTTAAGAGATTTGCGTTTCTATTGTATTTACAAAAAAATATGTTTAATATCTTGACATATTTATAAAAAGCAAAAAATAAAATTGTCAAATTGATTTAAATTTTATATTTACAGAGACGATTCATTTCACTGACTCAACGAAGTTGTATAAATCGAAACGTATCTTGGGTGTGAAGTGTATAAATCATATTTTTATGTTAATGATTTTTATCGAAAATCAATATTTTACTTGGAATAATTTCATAATTACTGCATTAGAGGATAGGTTAGCTGAATAGTTGAGTTAAGAATGTGTATGCGTATATATAACATGCGACTGGGCCCGGAGATCGTTAAAAGACTCACAATCAGAATATTCTTTATCACGATGAATTGGTATCGAACCGTGAAATGAATCCCAACCTATGACGAATCATGTCAGCCTTTGAAATCTCATATCGTCGACGTCTAAATATTATTCCAATAACATTAATCCTGTTTAACTGAATTTCTTACGCGTACTGCATTTCCATTCATAAAAAGACATTTTTCATCGTAACTTTAGATAATTTTAATTTATATACAATATATCCCACATTCCAACGCATATATTCCCTAAGATTCAAGTATTCTAAAAATAGATCTTAAGCTGTACATGATTGCCGATTGTACCTCTCGCTCCGATGCGATGACCGCTGATTAAACACATCATACGATTGAAAAGCGAATTGCACGGACGAAGGTGTGAATCACCTGTGACTCTCAACTGCTATTCAATAAGCCACAGTTTAAGCCGACAAACAGACCGCCTTGTCACGGTAATATTCTATTGGCTCGAGCATCGAGGCCTTCAAAAGAGCTTCAATTGGAGAAAAAGAGACCGCGGGTGAGAGCCACTGCCGCGAGCGAGGGTACCAGAGTTCCGCGGCTATAGCGATGATTACGTATGCGGGAATCATTGTCGAGTAACGCGCGATGCACATGCAAAGGCCAAAAATCGTCGAAATCAGTCGAGTTCAACATCAGCATTGTACCTGGGCTTTGTCTCTGCCTCATTGTTGTTGGTCGGTACTCTCTTCCACCTTCTCCCTCTCTCTCTCTCTCTCTCTCTCTCTCTCTCTCTCCTCTCTCTGTCGATGTACAATCTACGACTGCTATCCCAGGATAGCTTCCATAGTATCCACGCGACTAGGATCATTCGCTAGTAATACCTATCTATTCGACGGACAGGGTCGGTTTAACCCTTTCGCTTCTACAAAGACGCATACACATGCCATTGTATAGGATGATAAAGTAAGGTAGAAACTTGACACGCTCTAAATCGATATTTCGAATTTAAAAGATAACATTTATTAAAAATAGCAAAATAAAAGAAGACGTTAAAATAAATGTGAAAATAATTATCTTCTATAAAGTTTCTTAAAAACGTGGTTGGAGAACGGTTTGTAGCTCTTCTGCCTTTTTTTACCGAGCGCTAAATATAATAATTCTATGATGAGAATATCTATCTCCTTCGCAACACAATATCAAATAAAGAAGATTGGGTTTGTATAAATTATTCATCAGCCCTGAGCGGTTTTCGCACGGTGTCTCGCGTTTCTAATTCACTCTCCGCGATCTGATCCTACGCAGCCAACGTATGATCAAAATAAAGGAGAAGGGATCCGTGTCTGCCTTTTTCCTCTGTGCATAATACAGGTGCAGGACAGATAGGACAAGATCTCTGCGATGATATTGGAACGAGAACGAGTGAGCGAGAGGGGTAACACCACCAGCAGAGCAAGGCGAATCCAGCAGAGAAGGGGAGGAGGAGTTCAGAGCAGAGGGAACGAGAGAGAAAGAGAGAGAGAGAGAGAGGAGGGACGGTAAAGAGGGGATAGGAGGAGAAGAGGGCATAGAGCAGCTGAATAGGAAGCGACACAATGGACCTGGGTGGCTGTGGAGGCGTGTTATCAAATGGGTTCCTCATTCACATACTGCGGCCTGAGCTACCTGTGTCTGTCTGTACCGGTGTCTGTCTGTTATACTTATTCATACCGCCCATTGTGTCCTCCACTGTTGAGTCGAGTTCAGTTCAGTTGAGAACGCGATGGAACGTGCCACAATGCACGAATATGGGCTGCGCCGCACCTCCTCCCCCCCCCTCCTCCCCCTCCTCTTTCTACACCCTTCCGCGCACCCCCCTTGTCGCCGTATCTCTTTCTCTCTCTTTGCCATTTGCCACCCACGGTCCAACCCGCGCGCGCGTTGGATTCGCCGGGACCGACTGAAAAGAAAATTGCGTCGGGAAATTGTATCCGTGAGAAAACCCGACCGATAATGCCGAGTTCTTGAAGCGTACACGTCGCGAGATTTCTCCACCTCGGCCCCTCGCGGTGGCATCGACAACGACGGCGACGTGGTGGCCGTCGAATCCTACCGCCGAATGTCTCGTTAGACGAGCGAGTTTCCGTGGGAGACGATCGATGGCCGAACGGTGAATCCCGTCCGGAATTCCGGGATGC